GTGGTTTCTGAAAAAATGAAAGTTGTTGTTGCTGTTACCACTAGGAGTGTGTTGACACAGACAGAACCCTCCAAGAAGGATGCAGCCATTTAGGTCTCTGGCTGCGCAGACTGTTTGACCCTGGCAACAGTGCCAGAGGACATTGTGAGAGGCACCTGTGTGCGATGCGAGCAGGTCAGTGATTTGCTGTGCATGGTAGCAGAGCTCAAGGAAGAGGTAGAGAGGCTAAGAAGCATTAGGGAAAGTGAAAGGGAAATAGACTGATGGAGTCACACCCGAGTGGATGGGGGGGAATGGAAACATGTCCCTGTTCGGAGAGGTAAAAGAACACCTTCTCGACCCCCATAACAGCAGATATGAGGCCCTAGACTCAGAAAGTCAAGATCAGGCAAGAGGAAGATCTGTCTGCAGGTTGCACCCTGTCTACCAGACAGGTTACAACTACAGCTATAAGAAAAAAAAGAAGGGTAGTTGTAGTAGGTGACTCCCTTTTGAGGGGAACTGAGAGCCCTATGTGTTGACCAGACCCATCCCACAAGGAGGTTTACTGCCTTCCCAGAGCCAGGGTGAGGGGCATTGGTAGGAGACTTCCTGAGCTAATTTGAATTTCAGATTACTATCCACTGTTGGTAATCCAGGCTGGCAGTGATGATATTAATAGAAGAAGTGCCAGGGAAATCAAAAAGGATTTCAAGGCACTGGGTAGATCAGTTAATGGGACAGGAGCACAGGTGGTATTTGCCTCAGTTCCTGTACTTGCTGGAATGAATGAGGAGATGAATGAGGAGAAGAGTAGGAAAACCTACCTTATCAATAGGTGGCTAGAGGATTGGTGCCACTGTCAAAATTTTGGGTTTTTTGACCATGGGGTAAACTCCATAGTACCCAGTCTTCTTAAATCAGATGGGATTTATGTATCTAGGAGGGGCAAAAGAACTGTAGCACATAAGTTAGCAGGGCTCATCAAGAGGGCTTTAAACTAGGTTTGAAGGGGGAAGGGGTTGAATCCAGGCTCTCCAAAGAGAAGCCCAGGGATGAAAAGCCTGAGTTAAGAGTAAAATCATCAACCCAGCTGAAGTGCATGTACACCAATGCACACAGGATGAGTAACAAACAGGAGGAGCTGGAAGGCATCATGCAGCAGGAAAGCTATGACGTAGTTGCCATCAGAGAAATGTGGTGGGATGACTCGCATGACTGGAGTGCTGCCATGGATGGCTACAAGCTCTTCAGAAAGGATAGGCAGGGTAGGAGAGGTGGAGGGGTGGCTCTATATGTTAGAGAGTCTCCTGACTCTGTAGAACTTAAGGTCACCAATGATAAGGTTGAGTGCCTGTGGATCAGAATCGGGGGGAAGGCCAACAAGGCTGACATCCTAATGGGAGTCTGTTACAGACCACCCAACCAGGATGATGAAGATGATGAATTTTTCTACAAGCAGCTGGCAGATGTCTCAAAATCGCCAGTCCTTGTTCTTGTGGGTGATTTCAACCTGTAGGATATCTGCTGGGAGCTCAACATGGCAGAGAAGAGATAGTCTAAGAGATTCCTGGAGTGTATAGAGGATAATTTCCTGCTCCAGCTGGCAAATGAACCTACCATGGATGGGACCCCACTAGACCTGTTGTTTACAAACAGAGAGGGGCTGGTGGGAGATGTAGTGGTCGGAGGCTGTCTGGGGCACAATGACCATGAAATAATAGAGTTTGCAATACTCAGGGATACAAGGAAGGCCACCAATAAAACCTCTGCACTGGACTTCTGGAGGGCAGATTTTGGCCTGTTCAGAAGACTGGTCCAGAGCATACCCTGGGAAACAACCCTTGAAAACAAGGGGGTACAGGAGGGATGGACATGCTTCAAGAAGGAAGTCTTGAGTGCACAGGAACAGGCTGTACCAGTGTGCCAAAAGGCAAGCCAGTGGGGTTGGTTGAACAGGGAGATTCTGAAGGAAATCAGGGATAAAAAGAGAGCTTACAGACTATGGAAAATAGGGCTGGCTACTCAGGATGAGTTTAGGAGTATAACTAGGTCATACAAAAAGAAAATTAGACAAAAGCACAATTTGAAGTCAATTTGGCTACTTCTGTTAGGGATAACAAAAAGCGCTTCTATAAGTACAATAATAACAAAAGGAGGGGCAAGGAAAACATCCATTCCTTGTTGGACTTGGGGGGAAACATAGTTAACAGGGATGAGGAAAAGGCTGAGGTACTTAACACCTACTTTGCCTTGATATTCACCGCTAGGACAGGTGGCCCTCAGGACAACTGGCCTCTGGAGCTGGTAGACAGGGACAGGAAGCCGAATAGCCCCCTCTATTCCCGGAGGAAATAGTCAGTGACTTACTGAGCCACCTGAATCCACACAAATCCATGGGACCAGATGGGATCCATCCTGGGGTGATGAGGGAGCTGGCAGAAGAGCTTGCCAAGCCGCTCTCCATCATTTACCAACAGCCCTGGCTCACCAGGGAGGTCCCAGATGATTGGAAGTTGGCAAATGTCACACTGATCTACAAAAAGGGCTGCAAGGAGGACCCGGAAAATTACAGGCCTGTCACCCTAACCTCAGTGCCTGGCAAGGTTATGGAGCAGATCATCCTGAGTGCAATCACACAGCACCTGCAGGATGGACAAGGGATCAGACCCAGCCAGCATGTGTTTAGGAAGGGCAGGTCCTGTCTGACCAACCTGATCTCCTTTTATGATCAGGTCACCTGCCTGGTGGATGAGGGGAAGGCTGTGGATGTGGTCTATCTGGACTTGAGCAAAGCCTTCACCACTGTCTCCCATAATATACTCCTGGAAAAGCTGGTAACCCACAGCTTGGACACATGGACTCCCTGCTGGGTTAAGAACTAGCTGGAGGGCCGGGCCCAGAGAGTGCTGGTGAACGGGGCTGCATCCAGCTGGCGGCCAGTCACCAGTGGTGTCCCCCAGGGATCTGTGCTGGGCCCAGTCCCGTTTAACATCTTTATCAATGATCTAGATGAGGGGATTGAGTCCATCATGGATAGGCTGGAGAGTTGGGCCGATTCCAACGGGATGGAGTTCAATAAGGCCAAGTGCCGGGTCCTGCACTTTGGCCACAACAACCCCTGCAGCGCTACAGGCTGGGCACAGAGTGGCTGGAGAGCAGCCAGGTGGAAAGGGATCTGTGGGTGCTGATCGACAGGAAGATGAACATGAGCCAGCAGTGTGCCCAGGTGGCCAAGAAGGCCAATGGCATCCTGGCCTGGATCAGGAACAGTGTGGCCAGCAGGATGAGGGAAGTGAGGCTGCACCTTGACTACTGTGTTCAGTTCTGGGCCCCTCAGTTCAGGAAAGACATTGAGGTGCTGGAGCAGGTCCAGAGAAGAGCAACCAGGCTGGTGAAGGGACTTGAGCACAAGTCCTATGAGGAAAGGCTGAGGGAGCTGGGGTTGTTTAGCCTGGAGAAGAGGAGGCTCAGGGGTGACCTCGTCACTCTCTACAACTCCCCGAGAGGAGGTTGCAGCCAGGTGGGTGTCAATCTCTTCTCCCAGGCAATCAGCAGTAGGACAAGAGGGCATGGGCTTCAGCTCTGCCAGGGGAGGTTTAGGTTGGATATTAGAAAGAAGTTCTTTACAGAGAGAGTGATCAGGCATTGGAATGGCCTGCCCAGAGAGGTGGTGGATTCACTGTCCCTGGAGGTTTTTAAGATGAGGCTGGATGTGGCACTGAGTACCATGATCTAGTAATGACATTGGGGTTGGATCAAGGGTTGGACTTGATGGTCTCGGAGGTCTCTTCCAACCCAGTTAATTCTATGATTCTATGTTGAAAATGTATTTATCCTTGTTTGAAACTTGACTTCTGGGTGTCTTGGTATCTTAGTTGTTTTGCAAATCCACAGTGGTTATAGATGCCTAGCTCAAGCCTAGACCTGAGTAGGTTCCTGAAACAAAGATATCTGCATGCAGAGAACACTCTATGTGGGAAAAATACTTTCCCATCTTTCATAACATAATCTTGTGGAATCAGGATGTTGATTAGCTATACACCCTTTTCACCTAAACTGGTCACTTACCTAAAAAACCCAGTGGGACAGTGGAGAGGGAGAAGAGGTCACCAGAGGAAAGGGTAGATGCTAGACAGTTTGCATCATTTTAATACTGTGAAATTTAAAGTATCAATACTGGTGTTGTAGCAAGGGAACTAAAATAATTATTTGACTAGAGTACAAGGGCTTTAATATGCAGTGTGCTCCTTTTGTTGATTGCATGCAGCATGTCAGTGGTAATGCCAGCAGCCTATTCTGTAGTTTGGATGCAAGAGGTTGGTGATGCTGCCATGGTTTCCCAGTCAGCAAAAAGCAAGGATAGGAGCACTACATTCATCCCACTCTGTTAAGTTGCCAACTGGGGCTGGAACATGGAGCCCATGAAAAAGATGCATTTAGTCTGTGGGTGACAGTTTGGAAGGGAGTAGTCTGATCTTTACTCCTACGTTTTATTTTATATATTTCATTTTCCTAGTAGTCAATGAATAAGATCCTAGTCTTCAAGGTTTTTGCAGCTTTTTTTCAGAGTTCTGCTTTTCTAAAATTCAAACGTTTGCATGAACCATTTTAGTAAATATTTTAATATGATAAACATGTATGGAAATCATCCATGAAGCTTACTTGTTACCTAAAGCTTTTGAGAAAAGTAGCTATTTTCATCTTTTAGTCCATTTTTGCTAATTCACTTCATCCTGTTTTGCCCACGTATGTCCTTGACCATCTGTAAAGCAGCAATACCTACCAGTAAAAACGTGACATTTTTGTTTCAAAAATATCAGAAACTTCTTCAAGGGGCACTAGCCTAAGCACAGACAACTATTAAAGATTCACAGTTCAGTCCTCCTTCTGCTTTTAAAGTCTATACTAACGTTTATGTTTGAAATTAAGAGTAAAATAATTTTCTAAGGAAGATAAACTAGGTTATTATATGAAAATGTGTATTTTTGCTCTCAATAACCAATATTTTTATACTGCAGGCGTAATTTACCAACTAGACTGAACAAATGAAGGCAATGTCCTGAATAACATCATTCTCACAGTAAAACATCAGTATCAAAGCAGGGCATTTGAACACGTAAAAGGAAAAGGTAATGACATTATCCTTGAGTCTTCATGACTTTCCTAAAGGTGAATGTATTAAATAAGAACTGCTGAAGTGTTGTTGGCAGTGTTTTATGCATTCCATCTGCTAGTTGTAATATTACATCAGTTAAATAATGCATGTTACCTTATGTGTAAAACAACATGTACTCTGTTGATTGAAGAATCAACCCTAAAGTGGTTCTCAATAGAGCAGTTTGATTATTTTGTGTCAGAAAGTTAGAGATTTTTGCAATGAAAAATTCTCTTCTTAATAAAATCTTCAAGATTTAAAAGTCTACACTTTTTTTGAAACTCATGCAAAAAGAATTTATCTATAAATCATCCCTTTTTGCTTTCTAGAATGCTTTGTTTTTTATTTAAAATTTAAAGAATTTTGTCATGCTATTTTATTTTTCTTTGCAGTTCATTTGATGTAGCTGATAGTATGCTTCTACTGACATGTCATAGTATAAATTGTTAAAAATTGTGTTCTGACAAGGGCAGCTGCTACTTAGTACTAAAAAACAATATTCTAGATTGAAACTGTTGTTCTTTCTGTTTACAGTGGTGTGATTGGCACTCCTGAAGGACAGGATGTCATCTGGAGGGAGCTGGACAAACTTGAGAAGTAAGTCCATGGGAACCTCATGAGGTGTAACAAGACCAAGTGAAAGGTGCTGCATTGGGGTTGTGACAACCTCGGTATCAACACAGGCTGGGGGATGAACATATCAAGAGCAGTCCTGCTGAGAAGGACTTGAGGGTGCTGGTGGTTGAGAAGCTGTACATGAGCCATCAATTTGTGCTTGCAGCCCAGAAGGCCAATTGTATCCTGGGCTACATCAAAAACTGTGTGTCCAGCAGGTCGAGGGAGGTGATTCTGCCCCTCTACTCTACTGTGGTGATACCCCACCTGGAGCGCTGCATCCACCTTTGGGATCCCCACCATAAGAAGGACATTGACCTCTGGGACTGAATCCAGGGGAGAACCACCAGGATGATTAAAGGGATGGAGCACCTCGCCTATGAGGAAAGGCTGGGTTTGTTCAACCTGGAGAAGAAAAGGCTTTGGGGTGACTTAATTGTGACCTTCCAGTACCAGAAGGGAGCCTACAAAAAAAGTGGAGAGGGACTTTTTACAAGAACATATAGTGACAGGACAAGGGGGAATGGACTCAGACTGAAAGACAGTAGGTTTAGATTAGATATTAGGAAGAAATTCTTCACTGTGATGGTGGTGAGTCATTGGAACAGGTTGCCAATAGAATTTGTGGAGCATTGGATTGGATGGTTGGATGGAGCTGTGGTTGACCTGGTTTGGTGGAAGGTGTCCCTGACCATGGCAGTGGCATTTGGAACTAGATGATCTTTAAGATCCCTTCCTATCCAGACCTTTTTCATGATTCTGTGATGATTCTATGAATCAGTGAAGCAAGTTCTAAGTTCCCCTGATTATCTTGAAATATGTTTGAGGTGAATATCACATGTCTCTTGTAGCAATTAAGACAAGTCGATTTGGTTCCTGAGGCAGAAAGTTTTGTGTAAAATTATATTTATATCGGATGCGCTCAGATGAAATATTTTGTTTTGCAGAGAGGAAAAAATATGAAAGAAAGTCACTTTCTACATGATGCTCTTTCTACTGAATCTTACCTTCCTGAGTAACATTTGACTTCCTAGGCATTTCACATTTTTTTAAACAATTACATTAATAGACACTAAAACCCAGTGCAACTACAACTAGGTCTTTTTGGCAAGCTGTTTACTTCACCTTTCTTTTATAGATCTAGTCTATAAGATAATTTTTGATTCATCCATTGTTTATATGAAACTTTCATTTACATATTAATATTACATATTACATATTAAAAATATGGATTATATACTGAACTATAAAAATTAAAACTATAAAATATCCCAATATGTTGTTTTCACAGCTACCTGTGTGCGTCGATAATACAGTTTAATTACTTGTGATCTGGCTTATTATTGTTTGCTTACTCATAGATTTACTTTACTTCTTTTTCAGTAATATCAAAAAAGGATTTTGCTGTCTAGTAGAATCAAAGCCAACCTTCCTACTGCTATTTTGAAAGCTATTAATATTTCTGACTACATCAATATATCTTGTTATTACTATTTGTATACAGAAATGAAAGCATATATAACCCACAGATTAAGAATTATTCTGGTGTTCTACTTTAAGCCCAGCCAGCAAATAAGCACCACCATCCACTCACGCATTCCCTGCCAGTGGGATGGGGGAGAGAACTGAAAGGATAGAAGTGAAAAAACAGTTTAACAGGTAAAAGAAAACCACATATGCCTTTGCCATGTCATGTCATACTTTTGTTATAGCTACGTCTTGGTAGACTAAGTGCACCTTCCAGTACACTTACCTTGTTATGACTTGCCTTGTCTTTAGCTTAGTGGTGAATTATGTATAATAGGTGGTAGTAGCTTGTGAGTAGGGTGACGGACGATATGTGCATGCTCCAGGGCCAACTTAAAGGAGGCATGATTGTCCTACTTTACTGCTAAATCCGCCTTTTAGGAATGGTTTCATATTCCTTGTCGTGTGATTTTCTATGTTAGAAAATGTAGCCCATTTCTTCCACTTCATGAGCTATACCTTGACCTGTCTTGCTAGCGGAGAGGGACTATTATGCTCACTGTTGGGCCCTCAGGTTAGGGGTGAGCTGGGGACGGCGGTATATAGGCTGATTTGGCAAGAGGTTGTTGGGTGTATTGTGGGTTATCGATTATAGAACAGGCTCCTCTAGGTGGGTTTGGAGCACCGCCAAGTCCTTAGAGTTTTAAGCATTTGTGCTCGTAGTTCCCGGGTGGATGTTTGGGTAGAAGAAACATCAGGATTTAGGGCGAGGCATAGTGGGGTATCTAATCCCAGTTTGTGCCCTGGCTTTTGTGGAGTTTTATTAATCGTGTGGCTAAGATCATTTTGATAAAAAGTGTTAGGTGCATCTTGTGCTTATAACAGCTTAGCTGCATTTCAATCTTAGTTGAATTGATAATGAAGAACCACTCTTTATGCCGCGTAAGGTTAATTTGGGTTTCTTGTATGACTGCGGTGGCTGGCACAAGATTTACCAACCCTAGTGAGTTGCTTTAACTAAGTCAAGTTTACACTTATTGCTTAATGTCAAGTTGGTGAGATTGGTGGATAGGTTTAGTTATATTGGGTTGGGAGTTTGTTTAAAGATGGGTTCTTATAGTTGAATTTAAAACAGTGGTTTTTCAAACCATAGGTCTTGGAGAGAGGCCAAGTAAGAATTTTATGACATATTTTATGGTTTTTTTAAGTATCTGTTTTATTTTAGGTGGATTGGCAGTGGCTTCTAATCCTTCTCCTTATTATGGGGTGGTAGGGTTGGTATTGGGGTCTGTTGTAGGGTGTGGGTGGTTGGTGAGTTTGGGGGTGTCTTTTGTCTCATTAGTATTGTTTTTAGTGTATTTGGGTGGGATATTGGTTGTGTTTCTCTACTCAGTGTTGTTACCAACTGATTCTTTTCCTGAAGCTTGGGGGGATTGGCGAGTTGTAGGGTATAGTGTAGCGTTGGTTTTGGTGCTGGTTGGTGGGATGTTTGTTGTTGGGTTGCCTGGGGCTTGACTGGTTGGTGTAGGTACAGTGGATTGTGAAAGGGTATCTTCTGTCCGATTGGATTTTGATGGGGCAGCTATATTTTATTTTTGAGGGGTAGGGCAGTTTTTGGTTGCGGGTTGGAGTTTGTTATTGACTTGGTTTGTGGTTTTGGAGCTTGTGTGGGGGTTGTCTCGGGTGGGGGTGGGGTGATTTGGGCTGTTTAGGAGGATTGTAATTCAGAGAATAGTTTTAATTAAATGTCAGCTTTGGGAGTTGGTGATAAAGGTTAAATTCCTTTTTCTCTGATTGTGGCAGGTTCTTAGGGTATGAGTTGGTAGGGTGGTTGTGTTAAAGGTTTATGAAAGGAAGTGGGATAATTGTGGTTTGTCAGTTTTGTAATTGGTTTAGATTAAGGTAGATTAAGGGGTTGGTTGTTGTGGTAATGGAGGTCATGTCTAACAGTCTAGACTTAGGGTGAAAGGGCATGACATGACACGCACATTCCAGGGGACATTCACATGAGAGGGAAGGTTGATTTACAAAACTATTTAATTCCCTTAAGACTCTACTTTCCAGAGATCCAGAAATTCTTCATGTCATGTCATTCTCCTCTTTCCTGATCTGGACCCAAATCTGCATGGAACCTTGACACTAAATTCACTGGTCAAGTCTCAAACCTGAATATGTTTTACTTGTAGTTTACTGTAAGAACATTCTTAATTGCTTCTACTTTTATTTGTTGTAGTATATTGTTGTAGTATAAACCAGAATTACAGGATCAGAATTACAGAATCACACAGACTCACAGAAGGGATGAGGTTTGAAGGAACCTCTGGAGATCATCTAGTCCAACTCCCTATTCAAGTGGGGCCACCTAGAGCAGGTTGTCCAGTACCACATCTACATGGCTTTTGAATATCTCCAAGGAGGGAGATTCTACAACCTTTCCAGGCAACCTGTTTAAGGGCCAAATCATACCCACAGTGAAAGAACATTTCCTGATGTTCAGATTGAACCTCCCTTATGTCCATAGCCTCTTTTTCTCTCAGTAAACAACACTAAGGGGGTGTAAGTCTGGGGTCCTCAGCTCCAGCTGTGTCTCTTAGTGTCCGGCCACAAGTCCCTGTGCCCTTTGTTGATACTAGAGGGTTGATACCAGTTCATGGCCTCTTGTCTGTGGCTACAGCCATTCCAGAACTCAATCTGTGGCCTACATGAAACTACCTGCACTGTGTATTCTTCAACAATGTAAAATTATTTATCTAGGTACAGCACTACAGCCTAATGTTGCCCTTTCTTGGCTAGTACAAATAATTTTACATTTTCAATACATATTCATTCCTGAAATGAGGTTAGCTTTCATATTTGATAAAATATTTATTGCAATAATAGAAAGAAGTGGTCTGTGAATTAAAGAATATATTACTTTTTAATAAAGTCAGATCAGAGGAAAGTAGTAAAGCCAAATATTAAAAAGAAATCCATCACAAAATAATGTAGGTTTTTTTGTTTTAAAAAGCAATCTTCAGGGTTATCCGGCAACTTTGTTCAACTTGCCAGCTTTTCAGTTCTGAGTCTACAAGCACAGGAAACACAACAGCAGGAAATTTTGTTTCATCATATACTTTTAATTTTTATTTAGTGTAGACATCAGTATGCACTGAGGAACATACATCCAAGGGTTCCTAAACTTCAAAGTTCACAAATCTAAGTCTAATTTGCACTTTAGAGGACGTACATGAAGGACTTCAGTCAATACAGTGAGTTTCATTCTGTTTCTGTATTCAGTATTTGATAGCCTTGCCTAGTAATTCAGTCACATATCTCATTTGCATGAAGTTTCTTTTAAATGTCAGAATTGAGATATGACAATAAGTATTCACTTTGATTAACATGTTAAAGATTTTTTCTTGACCTTAAATGAAGACACTGCTTCAAAATGTAATCAGATCTTTAAACTGGGTGGAGATGAGGCGGGAAAGTGTTATACAGACATCAGAGCATGATATATACAGGCTCAGAGTCAAAATACTTTGCTATTTCCCACCATACTCTGTTATAAAACTGATATTCACAGTTTTAATTCAAATGCAATAGAACAAGGTATTTTAATACTCTTTTAATCTATCCTTTTGAGAATTCACAGTTTAGGTCTAAAAATGTGAGTACATGGTTAAGCAACACATGACTTTGCATCTTAGTTTTTTTTTTTTTTTTTTTTTTTTCAAATAATCTTTGGGTTTTGGGTTAGTGGGACAGTAGGAGGTCTGCATATATATTTAAAAAATTGCAAAATTTATTTTAACACATTTTACTGTATTAAGGTAGCTGTGATGGGTATATTACTGTACAGATAGCAGCTTTTCAAGGTTTTTCATTTGCTTCATAAAGCATATATATTCCACGTGCAATTAGAGGATGGACATGATGAGCCAAACTTGATACTAAATATCAAGTGTATTAGAATAAATTACAATTCCTTGCAATGAGTTTCCAAGTAGAAATAGGAAAGGTTAAGCATATCCTACCTATCCTAATAAGACCTTACCCTGATAAATAATACCAGATTAAAAATAAACATGGAAAGTTTAATGTAGGCAACTGAATTTAAGGTGTAATTCAGTGCTATTTTTCAAATATATGGTTCTGTAGGACTTTAATGTTCTCTTTTAGTAAGAATCAAGAATCATTTAGGCCTGAGATGACATTGCTGAGCTGAGGAGTTTTAGTTCAAATTAAGCCCTAGTTTGATCAGAAAATTAGTTAATATTTTACTCACATGAACAGGGAAGGCTTCAGCTGATAGGTGTTGTGGGAATAAGTACAAGATGCAATGAATACAAGTGGAATGCAAGTAAAAGACAAGAAAAAAGAAACACTACAGCTGTTTTACCTGAAAAATAACTCTTGCCATTGAACTAATGAAGATGTGGCGTGTTAGGGAAGTGTTAGGCAAGTTAGGGATATACGAGAAAGAGAAGCTTTCTCAGTTGAATATGAATAAATTCTTCTGTTCCTAAAAACGTAGTTCATAGATGCTTAGGTTTCTCAGTGAATTCTGGACTGCAAACCAGCAGATGGAAATAAATCATACAATGAATGTTGAGTACATGAGACCAACTTGTCTCTTTCAAGTGTGTCCCTAGTAGCTAGGCTAGACAGTTTCATATGCAAAAAAAAAAGATGTTGATAAGTCCTGTCTGACCAGATAATTGACTCATAAATTGCATCCAGAGCCTAAGCACTAAATTTAGGACTCTGCAACAGTATCTAGTGCTAAAAGTTTAATTTTTTTTTTCAAGCTCACTTTGTAATGCTGCATACTTTGTTGACCTTCTATATCATAAATCTACACAACTCTAGTTCTGTTCCTTTAAGAATTCACACCACCACATCATATACAAAATTAAATTTCTGAATCTATCTAATTTTTGGGGAAAGAAACTCCGACTTTGGCAATCATATGGCTTGCTGTGAATAATTTGGGTATAGTTATCTCCTTATTGTAAATTTCCCATGTAAGCAACAGCTATGGTTATCCATGCAGTCTCAGAGGCAGTTAAAAATCTGTACAAGTTAGGTTAGAAGTTGAAGTATTTTAGCTAAGGAGGAATAATGAAAGCTGATTGGTCAAAGTGCTATTCAACTGAGGTTTTCTTAAAGCAGATTTCTAGCAATTATGAGGCAATGTTCTGTTCACTTCAATTCACTAATCAGAAATACACCTGGTTTCCACTGCTTGGTCATTGTGTTGTTCATGTTCACCTACTTTCTACAGGATTTAATAAGCTTGATACATTAGTATTTATATGTAAATAATTTCCTTCATCATGTTTCAATAAACTGGGTAATGCTTTAGTTTTTACAGTTTGCTAAAACTAATTTGAAATTAATGTAAGCTAAGCCTCACAAAATGTCCCATGTATTCTATGAAAATGGGGGAAAAGGCAACAAAGTATTTTACAGAATTATTCATTTGATTAATTATGATCGGTTTGTTTGTTTGTTAGACCTATGTCTTAATGATTAGTATTTATTACAAAGGGACTTTATATGAAACTCTAAATGTAATTCTGAGCAGCTGCCTAAATATACAGTTTCCTTGACATCAAGAAAGGACACTGAAAAATTAATAATTAGTATTCAAGACTCAGGCTATGCATGGTGTTCAGCACTTATTAAAGACAACAGGAGTTAGAATACTCTGCAGCTTAACGTCTGAGTTCCCAACAGAACTGACAATAGTTTCTTAGTCAAAACAATGGATAGCAAGTAATGGAAGCTGAAGTTTTGTGAAACAGTCTGAAGTTGCATCATAAAAGACAAATATTCCTCTAAAGTTCATTTGTACTTGATATAACAATGCTAACATAAGTAAAACTCCAATATGTAACTCGTATGTACAAGACCTTGAATTGTACATGCTTACTGTTTCTTCTAAATTTTCTACTTTTTATATTTTTCAATATTTTTTTCCCAGGTTAAGCTTTTTTTTCAGCGCTTCACCTCTTTATAAACAGTTTGATTAGGAATATTTGCAATTATGACTAAAGAAATTAATTTTATGCTGTGTTAAAAATTCAAATTTTTTTTATATTTTGCTAAAGGCATGGATTTTGTAGACTGAATAGGACTATCTTTTTAAACCTAACTCTGTGTTCCTGGTGTCTGAACTTCATTTGAAAGTATTTTGATTCCAATGATTTTGTATATTTGTTATTAAATATATCTGTTGTTTTTTTTTTCT